TTTTCTCCCTCCTGGAGAAGGTAGAGTACCTTGAGGTCACAGATGTAGAAGAATCTCCTCTTTAGAGAGCCTACCTCAAGTTCTTCCCGGCCACAAGAGGAGCAAGATGCAGCAAGATCGGAGCAACCGTGTGATCTCCCTCACACCACTTCTCCATCACCAAGCTCACCTTCTCCTTCCTCTCTCAACCCCTCAAAACTTCTCAAGAGCTATCTCCCAAGGATTTCCTCTATAATCATGTTTTCCTCCTCTTTCTCCCTCAAAACATAACAATTTGACACATAAAACGGGCTCCAAAATTCCTGAAATTTTCAAAGTAGCCGTTACAATCGTATAGTACGATTTTTCATCGTATAGTACGATATGTATAAATAAGCTTTATCCTGGTACAAAGTTGTACGAATAGTTCAAAATTTAATCATACGGTACGATATTAAATCGTATAGTACGATCCTCAACACTACTGCTAGTACAAGATGATAGCCGGGACGATCAAATGTCGTCTCTGTTCATCATATGGTACGATACACATCATACAATACAAATGGTGAAAATCAAGGCATCGTCCAGGATGAATTCCGGGATGATCAAATGTCATCTATGTTCATCATATGGTACGATAGATATTGTACAGTACGATGAGACAAAAATAAGTGATCGTCTAGTACGATCTTCGGGACGATCTGAATTCATCTCTATTCATCGTATTGTATGAATTTGTTCATACAGTATGATTTTTAATTTGTAATTAAGCCTTGATTTCTTGCACTAATCACGGGTTAAATTAAGTAAGTATTTAAAATAGAGAGTACAATATGAATGTCTTCGTACAGTACGAACGACGCAGAATAACTTACTTAAGTTAATGTGACGATTAGGGTTTTGAATTTGAAACACATCGTATAGTATGATAGTATTCGTACCGTACGATTTGTTCACAGAACACGTTTATAATATAATATCGTACAATACAAAATAACTTTGTACAGTACAATTAACAGATAATGAAAAACTATATTTTTTACTTTTAAAAATCCTCTCCCCCCTGTATGTGTGCATGATTGCTCAGACTCACCTGCATTTTGTGGCCAGACTCAAGAAAATAAAAAATAAAATAAATAAAAAATTATATTGTCAGACTCATACTTCTAATCTAACTAGTCTTGAGTCTTCCCATTGTCCTGAGTGGCTTGTGATCTTCCTGAAATGTTAGTACTCACAGACAATAGCAAACAATAAATGATATTCAATGAAGAGTAGTTCAGGCGACATCATTTGTCATCATAAAAATCTCAAACTTAGGGTCATGGGTCTCAACAGACCTCCATAGAGATAAAGCTACACGTTAATAAGTTAGGTGGTATATCCAAATCTATAGGCAAGGAGGGACCTAAATAAGGAGTTAAGACAATATGTTATGGACTTGGTCAGATTCCATTTACATCCTTCTAGTCATTTATATTTCAATGTTATTTAAGAAACTTTTTTTTTTGTTATGAGTTGAAGAATTTTTTTTTCCTAAGGAGCCTAGTGAAAATAATTCAGGCAAAGCACACACAAAAAGAAAACCCAGAAAAATAATGATATTTTAAAGTCACATTCAAAGTAAATAAATCATTCATCCAACCACAATAAAGTAAATGAATAAAAGTAAAAAAAGCAAAGTCCATTGTGGAAAATGTCAGTTTATGATAACTTAATTTATAAACTTTATTTATAATTCAAATTCTACTCCTAGAATGACGTAGGTCATATACAGTGATATTTTTTAAATTCATGAGCAGTCGATCAATTATTGAGTCATAGATTTTATTGACTTTAAGTGTTTTTTTAGCAATCATACATAAAAGGAGAAAGGTTTCTCACCCATTTTTGGGAGTAGAAGGAGAGAGTTAGTGGAATATTTGAGTAGATGAGTCGGTAACATAGGTCAAGTTGACCAAACAACAAAAAATTTGGTTTGTCATTCTTACTTAGTTTTTTTTTTTGCATTTATTTCCTATAATTTCTTTAGTTTTATGCTCTATTTTGAAATAAGTGTTAGAGATCATTTTTTAAATCAAAGAGAAAAATATTTCAATTTGTGTTAATGTTTTGCATTTTTTATCTTAATGAAAAAAGTTTCAAAAGCAAAAGAAAAAAAACATCATAGAAATGGAGTGCATACATACAAATAAAGCATTAACAAATAACATAGGAGACCACATATCCTTAATTAAGTGAAAGGATAAGCCACTCAGTGATGACACATGGCTTACTAGGGTTGATTTGGAGAAGATTGTGCCTGATGGTGTAGAAGATTACCTAGACTTCAACTCTTTGGAGAAGAGTTCTTTCATGTCCAGAGGAAGTAATGTAGCTCAAGAAGTCCCTATAATGAGACATGTACTAATCATAACGAGCCAAAGCAAGAAGATTCCCACCACACATGATTAACTAGCTTTCGAGTTTATGTGTATGTGTTGTATGAGACATAAGTGCTTATAATATTAAGTTTAGAACATTGAAGAAAAGAAAAATTTGGTATTTATAATTTAATTTTCAAAGTTATTATGGTAAATGTTATATAAAATCCTTAGATGATGATTATTTATTAAATAAATAATTAATTTAATAATTTTCATATGAAGCAGCAATGACCATTGATTTGAAATGGTGGTTAAGGGTGATTACACATTAGTAACTACTTTCTCCTTCTCCATCTACATCTCTTTCTCTTTGCTTTGAGTTTCAAATTGATATAAGACTATTATAAATACTTATTTGATGAAATATGAAAGGATTGATATCATTTCATAAGAAATTTAAAGTTTTTATCTTAGGTGAAATAGGTTTGGTGGCTGAATTCCAAAAAATGCTTGCATGATCACAATCACAATCATTATTACTTTGATGAGTAGTTTAATTTTTACATGCACTTACTCCACTTAAAAAAAAAAAAAAACTATATTCATATCCAATTATCCATCCACTAAACTTTTGAGAAATTCTCCACATTTTAATTGCCCTAAAAATAATCTGAAATCTCGCTAGAACCACTTGGCCAAAGGTGGTTTTCATGCTACCTTGTCATGTTATACAAACTTCTACAAGCATTTAAGCCTCTTAAAAATCCACCATAAACTCTAGAAATAAGTTGTAAACATTCCTCTACCATGTTGTACTATCCTAGGCCTCTAGTTCCACCCATTAAACCATAATTCCAAGTTACTGTTGTCAAGTTTAGCCTATTAATCTTACTTGTTGTCCATATAGTCACCACCCACCAACATCCCCATTTCAATCAATCAATCCTCACATCATACTTGATCAATACATTTATATAGATCCTTTATACAATCAATTCAATTAATTGGGAGTTATCTAATCAAGGGCTTCATAGGTTTATGCCCTTAGTGTTATAGATAGTACAATTTTTGCAATTTTTGCACATTTTATGTTCTAGTAATAAGGTCCTCTTTATAGTGAAAATGGTGACCAAGAAGAATACTTTTATATTGTCAGCTTGGGAGATCTTATCTTCTAATCCTTTCCCATCATTTATATTGAAGAGGGTGTGATCACATTCGATCGCATCAACTTTCCTACTATGCTTTTTATGTGGAACCCCACATTTGAGGAGGTATCTACTAAGTTCCCTCCCAAGAAGAAGAGGAAATAAGCTTATAATAATGCCTTAAAAGTGGGTTCTAGTGATGACATTATATTTCTCATTAGGAAGAGGCCAACATCTGATGGCAAGCCTTTCTAAAATTTCATAATTATAACTAGGCTCTCTAGTGGTCTTTAGTCTTTTATAGACTATTAGTTCCACTTACAGCTCCACCATTTATTACACCAACTATTTTACCTTATGTTTATTCTTCCTCTATTATGCTACTCATTGTTTCATTAAAGAAGCATGTCTAAGATTTAATTTAGAACCAATGCATTGTAACTAAAAAATACAAAATAATTAATAAACTTTCTTTAACCTCAGTTTAATTCCTTAAAATATTTATATTAGTACATTAATTATCCATATAAACATCATAAGCATTGGAAAATAAAAAAATCACAAAAAAAGGGTAAGGTTTGGAGGAGGCCAACTATGTGATCTAAAATTTTTCTTTCATTTCTTCATATTGTTCTGAAGTTCTATCATTCTTCTACTTCATAAAAATTCACTCTTAAATTACGAAGAATGCATTAAATTAAGAAAGAAAGGTCATTTATATCTTCATTCTTATCACTAACAAATATAAATCTGCATCATAAAAAAATAAAAATCCACATAATCCCAAGTCATATGTGATCATTTTTTTATGATAATAAATATATAATTATATGTACTATTGTATATATGAAGTGATTTCAAGATTGAATGTTTACACAAATATTGGTACAAAATGGATGAAAATAACAAGTTAAAGGCCAAGGGACCTAAGAGCAAGTACACGTGAACATCAAAAAGAGATCTAATGAAGTACAATAAATCATTTAAAGGATAATAGAGTCAAGAGTAGGTTCAAATTTGTATTTGCAAAATGATTGCTCCACTGACTTAAACTCCCCTTGTGAAATCCTTCAAAAAGATAGTGCAAATTATTCAAAAAATATTTTAGTATTGCAAATTATATGAAAATTAGTTAGACAAATTTGAAGAGCCAGATTTGACTAAAAATCATATGATTTAATGCACTTAAATCATATGTAAATCAAGTTCTTTCTCAAACAGAAGAGCCAGATTTGACCGAAAGATTTACATGGGAATACAAAGCTTATGATTTCTCAAGATAAGAAACAATTGTAAACTGGTAATATATTAATTGAAGCACTATAGACAAAGATACCACAAGAACACCAAACCTCCAATTTATTGTAATTGCACACTAGAGGCCGAGGCAAAGACCATCGTTTGAGCTTTAAAACAGGGACAAGAAATTAGCTATCTTTATTTTATTATTAAAATTAATACATTTATCTTTCAAGTGCCTAAATCTTGGAGTTAGGGATGTTGCTCAAGTCAGTGGAGCAACGCTTTGTCTCCAAGTAGTTAGTCCTTTCACAAGAGTAGGTCCACTTTTGAGTTGGAGCAGATGCCTACACATAATGTTAGATTCAGATGAGGAATTGGAGCTTACAGAGGAGAGAGCAGTGAGGGATTGCAATACATCGCCTATCCTACACTCCTTTCTAAACTCAAGGACCATGCTGGACATCTCATGTGTCTCCAACATAGACATTGGAATGCCCTGCAAAATCAAAGTTGAAAGAAAAGAGTAAGGCCTTCCCATTTTCTTGTTAACAAAATTAAATAGGCTGTGCAAAAATATTTGTTAAGCATAAAATTAACATCTAATGTGGCCACTTAGAATAAAAATGAATGATTAATAAGAATTCAAAAAAGACTAAATTAAGACAAAAAAAGAATGATACAGCTTTTCTGAAATGACAAGATATGATGTGAAAATCTCTCTATTTATGAGCCCTTATTCAGAAGACAATCATAACAACAGATTGACAACAGCGGAATGGTAACAACCTAACAACTAAAGAATAGGCATTAATAAGAGATAAATTAGATTCATTATTTGCTTAAATATTATCTCTCTTCATGCCTTTTATTTATTATTTTCCTAAAAGAGCAAGAAGAAGGGGAAAATGTTAACGAAGCTAATCATTTATTTTACCTCAAAAACCCACCGAATGTACTTGGCATTGTTCACGTGCATATTATAATCTAAATCAGCCCACTGAGGCTGTCAAACAAATTGAAGTTATAAAACAATATAGTAGAAAGAATGTTAAGAGGGAAAATATATAAATAAATAAGAAATTAAGACCAAACATATTTATCCAATCTAGAACTTACATTTAAGCCATCTATGATGTAATCTGCAGTCTCAATATTTAGTTTAGGGAACTTTCTGCTATCCTCATTCAAAATAAAAGTAGTCTCTTTGTAGTGTGGTTCTAATTCTACTTTTATTTCATCAGGTATCTTTGAAAGTTTACGTGTGGTTTTGTCCATTAGTGCCAAAATACTGAAGAAATCATAATTAGCATAATCAGTTTAACAAGCGATATATTTCATTTGGCTTGAAGAGAAAGTTTTGACATGCATGATCAACGGCTAACCTCGTAGCTCGAATCATACTTTGACCTGTTTTGAGATTGCGTATATGCCAATCACGAGCCATACTCAATTTTGTATGATGTCTGAACCATGTATTTACTTCAAGAACATCACCCCTGCATAAAAAAAAATAATAACAAAAAAAAAAAAGATAAAATTTTTTATGAAGAAACTTTAATGTGTTAATTTATTTATCATAAATTTGTTAAACCAAGTCTCCAAGTCAGCTTTTCATGTTCAAGAAGCATTGTACTTTTTCCTACAAGTACAACTCTTTGATTTGCTCTCTGTAATTTCTAAGTCTATTTATATCTTTGTACTCTTTCCTCTCAATATTGAATACAATTTATTTTCTTCTCTTATTCTCTGTCATCTTCTCTTCTTCTCGTCGTCTTCTTGTTGCTTGCGTTCTCATGGTATCAGAGAGTTAACATACTTGTGTGTCTCTCCTTTTTTGTCACCATGGATTCCTCATCCACTTCGATAGCTGCCGCTTAAGAAATCCCTCCTGCTCTACTTTGTCTTTTGCAACCTCAACTATCCCACCCCAACAAAAATTTATAGCGAGTACCATCAAAAATATTATCTCTATCCATCTCAACTCCAACAACTATCTCGTCTGGAGGTCTCAAGTCTTCAAGATTTTTTATGCAAATGGTTTTGATGGATTTCTTGACGGTAGTTGTATTTTCCCTCTCTCAATGTCTTTGACCGAATCAAGTTCCTACTCATATCAAACTTGGGTTCTTCTTGATCAACACCTTTCAACCGCCCTCTACTCTGTCATCTCCCTCAACATGTTACCTTATGTTCTTTATTTTGATCATTGTGCCAAGATCCGGGATACTTTGGCCCAGTATCTTTAGTCCACTACTTGATCCCATATCATTCAACTGAAGAATGAACTTCACCATATTTTCCATGAAAGATCAAAATATGACACAATATCTACTTAGCATACAATCTAAAGTTGATGCTATTGCCTCAACCATAATCCTTTTGACCCAGAAGATAGGGAACAAGAGAAGAAAATAAACGGTATTTTATATTGAGAGGAAAGAGTATAGAGATATAAATAGACTTAGAAATTATAGATAGCAAATCAAAGAGGTGCACGTATAGGAAAAAGTACAATGCTTCTTGAAAATGAAAAGATAATGTGGAGACATGGTTTAATGGGCACCTCAATTGGTTAAGCTAAAGATGTAACCAATTTGTTTTCAAGTTATTTAAATCGTGATATGGAGAGAGGCTTGGTAAAGATATTGGCGACTTGGTCTCTGGTGGATATGTGATGAACTGTGATAACTTTATCTTTGATGCATTTCCTGATAAAATGCTAGTTGACTTTAATGTGCATAGTTCGAGCGTGAAAGACATGATTGTTTGCTAAGGCAATGGTAGACATATTGTCACAGTATAGAGGAGTGGAGGCCATATGAGAACAGTTGAAGTCTTGAAGTAAATGACAAGGCCAGATAACTTTAGACAACAGTAGTTGCAGCGACAGCGTGATATTCGGCTTCGATGGAGGATCTGGTGACCACATTTTTTTTCTTAATGCTCTAAGAGATTAGTGAGGATCCAATGTAGTTGTAACTACATTTGCCAAATATAGAATTTCGATCAGTTAAATCATCAGCCCAGTCTGAATCTGCATAGGATCTAAGAAGAAGAGAGTTATGAAAGAGAGGTAAACCAGTATGGGAAGGCATTTGAGTGCTTCAAAGCGACTAATTTGAGGTTCTGCTTATGTTGGCATATTTTGTTAACATCAAACGAGATATCAGGCTTGGTGAGAGCTAGATATTATAACGAGCCTGTTATTTGATAAAAGAATGTGGATTGGAAAAAGCTGACGAGTTAGCTGTGGTGGAAAGTGGTTTAAGTTAGGATGTCATAGAAAAAGGTTTACAGGTGATCATTCTGGCTTTGGAAAGAATAGATTTAACAAAAGTTTCTTGATTTAGACGGAGACCATAAGAAGTATTAACCACTTTAATGCCGAGAAATTGAGATATGGATCCAAGGTTGTGCATTTTGAATTTAGTATTGAGATTATGAAGATTATCGTTGATAGCCTCTTACTGCGAGGAGTTTTCCATCAAAGTAAACTAAAAAGTAAAGAGAAACATTGGACTTGCTATAGATGAGAAGGGAAGGATTGACAGAGCTAAACTTGAATATGAGAGTTTGAAGATAACTAGATAGAGTGGCAAACCAATAGCGAGGTGATTATTTTAGGCTGCATTTTGAATTTCATGTAGACAGAGTGAGAAAGGTGACCATGAAGAAAGGCATTAGAGACATCGAGTTTGTGTATGGGCCAGCTATGATGAAGATCAATAACAAGGAGAACACAAACAATGGGCATTTGGGCAATAGGGCTAAAGGTGTTAGTATAATCAATGTTGTAATCCTGGTTACGGGATAGTATCATCAGATAAAAATTTAGTGCGAAATGTCCAGTGACAGCCAAGGATATTTTGGAGGGGTGAGGTGGAACAAGTTCCCAAGTACCTTGAGATCGGAGAGCTTGGAATTCTTCATACATGGCCTTCCGCCAATGTTCAAATTTACTAGCATCAGCATAGGTAGTGGGATCGATAGACTGGTTTTGATGAAGGAGATTAAAGAAGGTTTTGGGTTTAAGATGTCCTGTTTTAGAATAAGTACGTTTGCATATGGTGAGTAGTTGGTTTAACAGTTGGAGAATGAATGGTGTTTTAGAGGAAAGTGGGGGACGGGGGATTATATATGTAGATAGGTGTTGAAGAGAATTGAGCTTGGGATGAGATAGTGGCATCAGAAATGTCCTGAGAGGAGGAAGGATTAGAGGTGGAATTTGAATGTCCTACTCTAGGAACAAGGAGTAAATGTGGCATACACTATGATGACCGTGAGGTAGAAGCAGGATCGGTGGGCTGATGAGATTGATTATATAAAAAATTGCTTCATTGAAGATAACATGTATAGATGTGTATATTTGTACCATGGTAGGATTAAGACATTTGTAACCTTTTTAAGCTTGAGCATAGTAAATAAAGACACAAGGAAGAGAGAAAGGTGATAATTTGGAGTTAGTATAGGGATGAAGCCAAGGGTAGCAAAGACATCAAGAGATTTTAAGATGAGAGTTAGATGGGGCTTTATGATAAAGTTTAGTATAGGGACTGATATTTTCAAGAACAGGTGAGGGTAATCTATTTATAAGGTAGACGGTAGTATGTAAAGCATCAACCCAAAGAGAGGAAGAAAGGCTAGCTTCAATTAGAAGACTGCGAATAGTTTCTAATATATGTCGGTGTTTGCATTCAACGACACCATTTTGTGCTGGGTATAAGGACAAAAGTAATGATGTGTAATGCCCCAATGAGTACACAAAGATTTGAATTGGTTATTAATTAATTCTCCACCTCTATCTGAGTGAAAAAATTTTAATGCATTTGTTGAATTGACGAGCAATCCTTTTATTGAACTCGACAAATTTAGATATTATTTCAGATTTCTTAATTAAAGGATAAACCCAGCAGAACATAGAGTAATCATCAATAAATCAAATATAGTAACGATAACCTTGCTTGGTTGTGGTGGGAGAAGGTCCCCAAACATCTGAATGAACTAACTCAAAAATATATGTGAAGAATTTTGAGATCTAAAGAACGATAAATGATGGCTTTTAGTTACATGAATTACAATTGTAAGAACACTATAACCTTTAGAAAGAAACATTTAGAATAGGTTCTTAGAGACATGAAAGCCGACACGGTGAATTTCATTCCCAAAAAAATGACAATGTCTAAGGAGCATTCATAATGGTAATGCCTTGGTTTGTTTCAATAGGCAAATTAGAATTAAATTTTGCTTGACAAGATAGATGACATGTCAAATAAAATAGCTTTAAAATAAATTACAAAATTATAAGAATAAAAAACAGTATTGAAAGGACTTGCCATGAAGGATAATGTTCCACATGAACATGCATTTTAAGTAGGACAAATGTGAGGTCTCCTCTATGTATCTTTGGGTATGAATGAACAGAATCATCAAATAACCCAAGGAATTTGAAATGGTTAATACATGTTTCCTGCAAGGGCAAAATAGAGTCAGAACTCGAAGATGCTAAAATTAATTAATGAAAATCTTAGGCTATAAAAATTTTAGACCTGTAAAAGGTTCATTATTGTCGCAAGGGATGCTTTTCCAGTAGCATCAATCTCATATATTTTGATAGAGTTTCTCTGCATGTAAATATTATCAATTATTTGTTCATGACTAAATGAATCAGCGAACAGGTCAGCTCTCCTAGGCTTCCAATCCAGTACGTTTCTTTGTTTCCCTATTGTTACTTTTATATTTATTAGAGTCGCAAGGAGCCACCTCCAATAGGTAAAGTTGAGAACATCCTTTTGTGATTCTGAAGGTGCATCCTCCTCAATTTTTGCTAACTCACTCTTAAAGCTAAAAGTAACAGTATTGGCCTTTTTGACATATCCTTTGATTTGAAAAGCCTTAGCAGCAGAACATGCAAATTTAGCTTTCACTCCACTGGTAAAAGCAAATGAAACATTAAAGGAACCAGTCCACGAGGAAGAAATTGGTTGTGAGGATGATAGAATTGAGAAGATGGTTGGGAAAGCAGTTGAAGCAGTCATGATTGTGCTACTTCCACACCTCAAAGAAGCTGTAACCAGGTGTTAGTATAGTAATGAATTATATATGAGCTAAGTTAATAGAATGCAAGAAATTTCAAAAAGCAGTTTGAGTGTAAGATATAAAATTTGTTCCATTCTAATAAAATTATGAGGTTTTAAAACAACTTTATATCTAAAGTAGGTCATGTCTATCAATTAAAGTGTTTATCTCTAAGAACAAATTGTAGCTTCTTATACTTTTCCAGAATATTGTAAATTAAATTCATCCGAGGGATCACCTGGTTGGTTGTACAAGAAAAATAGAATTTAGAAAGTGA